GCCTGCTAAAATCTTTGGAACATTTCTTGCCTCTCTTCAACCCGCAGGAGGATGCTAAACTGTCCCAAGAAGTGTTCGAAGCAGTGTCGTCGATGTTCGATTATTTCAGGGACAATGCCAACAGAGAAGTTTTGGCCCGTGTTTTTACTGCTTTCGCCAAACGCGATGAGGAGCTTGTTCATGTCGCTGCCCTTTGCGAGGACCTCAACTCCATGTCTACTAAGAGACTCGAGGTGGACTATGACCGCCGTCTGTCAGCTTTTAGGGAGGTGAATGAGAACCTGTGGGAGAAGCTCAATGCCAAGCAGTGGCGGCCTCTTCTCTACAACATGCTGTATCAGGTTAAGGATGAGGAGGAACTCTCGATTCGGTCGAGTGCTTCGTTTGGATTGCGTCGATTCATGGAACGGGCAGTTCTCAATGATGTTGAGGCTTTTGAGCCTCTGGTGGCAGACATCTTATTCCCTGCTCTGCAGAGCGGAGTTCGCCAGAAGTCTGAGCTCATTCGATCCGAATTCATCACTGCCCTTGGTTACTTTGTCAAGCTGAACCCAGAGCGTCCTAACGTTCAGGATATGCACGTCTTGCTCGTCGGTGACGATGAAGAAGCGTCTTTCTTTAACAATGTTCTCCACATTCAGCAGCATCGTCGTCTGCGGGCGCTGCGCCGTCTTGCCAGCGAGGCGGCCAAAGGAAACATCCAGGCTTCGAACATCAGCACGATCTTCATTCCCCTCAATGAGCACTTTGTCTTTGATGAAGAAGCCGACGAGGCTACTCACAACCTCATCGCGGAAGCTGTAACAACAATCGGAGCCCTTGCAGAATGGCTGGATTGGAACCAGTTCAGGGCTATCTTCCGGAGATACCGCGGTTACATGCAGAGCAAGTCCGACATGGAGAAGAACATCATTAGACTTCTAGGCAAGATGGCCGATGCCTTGACTAATGCCATGAACCAGCACACGACAATCAAAGCGGCGGCCAAGGATGGAATGGATGGGCTTGAGACATCTAGCCCTGTTTCTACGCTTGCTCGGTCTATCCCATCTGTGGCCAAGGTTGCTACTGAGCTGACCACCAACTTTACCCCCTTCTTGACGGATTTCATCCACCACAAGAACGAGACACAGATGAGTCTGCGTCTGCCCGCTTCGGTCACAACAATCAAGCTGCTCAAGCTGTTGCCCGAGGACGATATGTCCATCCGTCTCCCACCTGTCCTCTTGGATGTATGCAGTATCCTCAAGAGTCGTACCCAGGAAACTCGGGACACTGCTCGGAAAACCCTGAACGACATTGCCCTTTTGCTGGGCCCATCGTACTTCGGCTACATCCTGAAGGAGCTTCGGACTACTCTCACCAAGGGTTACCAGCTTCACGTTCTGTCATTCACAGTCCACTCGATGCTCGTGGCGACGACAGATGATTTCCAGCAGGGTGACCTGGATTACTGCTTGCCTGACTTGAGTGCTATTGTCATGGATGACACGTTCGGCACAGTTGGCCAGGAGAAGGAAGCCGAGGAATACGTGAGTAAAATGAAGGAAGTCAAGAGCAGCAAGAGTTTCGACTCCATGGAGCTTCTAGCGAAGAACTCCACAGTGCTAAATCTGGCTAACTTGGTCCGGCCGCTTCAATCGCTCCTTCGAGAGAAGCTTACCTCCAACATTGTGAGAAAGGTCGACGAGCTCTTGCGGAGAATTGGCGTTGGTCTTTTGAGAAACCCTGGTGTCGAAAGTCGCGATATTCTTGTCTTCTGTTATGAAGTCGTCAAGGAGACGTACAGTGCACCGGCTCAGGTCAAGGCACAGGCCCCCAAGTCTCAACAGGCCGAGAACTTGGAGATCGACCTACGCGGGTCCAAGCGGGGTGAGAAGAAGGGCACTACTTCTTCCTACATCCACAAGTTGACGCGCTTCTCTCTTGATGTTCTGCGTGCAATTCTGAGCAAGTTCGGCTCCCTGCTTACGCCGGCTAATCTAAAGGGATTTATTCCAGTCATTGGCGATTCGCTGGTACAGGCACACGAAGAAGTGAAGATCTCGGCTCTCCGTCTTTTGTCAGCCATCATCAAGCTCCCCATCCCCGAGCTTGACAGCAACTCTCACGTCTATTTCACCGAAGCAGTCAAGGTGATCAAGGAGGCCCCGAGTACGAACACGGAGGCTGCGCAGGCATCCTTGAAGTTGGTCTCGGCTATGCTCCGGGAGAGAAAGAGCACCAAGCTCAGAGACGGACATCTTGCATACCTTCTTCAACGAGTTACCGCCGACATCGAAGAGCCTGACCGCCAAGGTGTCACCTTCAACTTCATCCGGGCTGTTATGGCAAGGAAGTTCGTGGTTCCTGAAGTGTACGAACTGATGGATAGCATCGCTACCATGATGGTTACGAACCAGACTCGTGCTGCCCGGGACCTCGCTCGTGGTACCTACATTCACTTCTTGATCGAATACCCACAAGCCAAGAATCGTTGGACCAAACAACTCAGCTTCCTCGCCAAGAACTTGGATTACAAGCACCAGGACGGTCGCCAATCAGTCATGGAGGCAATTCACATGCTGCTGTCTAAGACTGGAGACGAGCTGGCGCAAGACATTGTTAGCACCTTCTTCCTTCCGGTGGTCATGGTGATGGCGAATGACGACGCGCCTGAGTGCAGGGAAATGGCGGGTACCCTACTGGGAGAGCTTTACACTAGGGCAGACAGGGAGCAGATGAAGGCCATGCTCACGCCTCTTCATTCTTGGCTGGAGCAAACGGACAACATGCTTCTTACCAGTACTGGTCTACAAGCTATGAGAATTTACTTCGAAGTGGAAGGCACTGAGAAGGACAAAGAGGCTCGCTTCGTCGTAGATGTGCTCCTGGCTATCATGCAACCTGTCCTCAAGGCCGAGGAGACCGAGAACTGGCAAGCCCTTTACTTCTCCCTTCAGCTCTACACCAAGCTTTGCAAGTCTGTACCGGCAATCGCGCTGGCCAAGGAGCGCACCAAGCTCTGGGCCGCTATCCGTGAATGCCTGTTTTACCCTCACGCCTGGGTCAAGACCTGCGCAGCGAATCTCGTCGGCACATGGCTTGCGGACCTGGCCAAGAACAATGCTGCAAATGGATATGGTTCAATCCCGTTGGCTGGTTCCATGGGATTGTCGCTTGACAAGGACGCCATGCTGCAGCTGATCCGTGCTAGTTTGCGCTCTCTTCGCACCCCGGCAGTCAGCGAGGAGCTCGCCATGCAGTCGGTTCGCAACATTATTTTCCTCGGCCGATGCTGCGCTCAGAACGGCCTTGAATTCGCCAAGACCGGCAACAAGGAACTTGACTCTGACGCTAGTGATAGCGAGGATGAGGCGGAGGACGAGGCTGGACGCCAAACCGGCGCCACGAAGACGGCCATTCACTACATCTTCGAGCAGACATCTTCCATCCTGCGCAGAGAGCTGCTTACCACGCGGGCTGAATCTTTGATTCCGAAGACCGCTTCCATCGGACTTTTTGCCTCGCTCTGCCGCCATCTCGAAGTTGAACAGATCCGAGGCTCCCTTCCCGTCATCCTCCTCCCTCTGCAGCACATGACGGATACCAGTATCCCAGCTCCTCGCTCCTCAGACGAGGTCTTCCGAGAGACCTACAAGGGCCTGGTCTCCAACTGCCACGAGGTTTTGGACATCCTGCAGAAGAAGCTTGGAACGACCGAGTACGTGCAGATAATGGCGCAAGTGCACGATTCCATCAAGGAGAGACGTGAAGACAGACGTGTCAAGCGACGGATCGAAGCCGTCACCGAACCGGAACGCTACGAGAAGGACAAGAGACGGCGGAACGACCGCAAGCGCGAAAAGAGAAAGGAGAAGGGAGCGGAGCATCGCAGCAAGAGACGCGGTTGGTAGTGGAATAGCGTTGCATGTTGCATATACAGGGTTTGTTTATACCAAAATCGCACGGCGTTGGGAGAATAGGAGATCGATCATGTTTGAGATGAGCTGTCTATCTATCGTACATATGATTCTTTTGTCTTCACTTCATCTTCCACCTCCATCTATAAAAGTACAATGTATATCCCAAGAGCAGAGTGTACATACTCCAATTCCAATGATGATTGATATCAACCCCAACCAGGACGCCAAACGCTCATCAACTTTTCCAAACCCCAAATACAATGCATAGCCGAGTCAACAGTGTAGTAGTCTAAGCCGACTTGCCCTCCTCCCCTTCACCCCCACCCTCCTTCTTATTAACACTCCCATCGTCCCAGAACTCCATATCGCCATCCACATACCCACGAGTCAACTTATCGCCCTGCCGGGCCAAGATATCCTCAAGGGTACTCTTCTTATCGAAGAAGATGTTCAGATGATCGGCAATGACATGACGAGCATCGCAGGACGGGCACTTGATCAACACCGTACCGCGGTGGTATCCGTGCTTGGACATGCGGTGTGAGGAACGTTCTCCGCATGGCTTGCAGGTGAATGTGATTTGGTATGCGGGCTCCTGTTCGCGGCGGAGACGGTTCTGTTCTTCATTCTGGGCTTCGGTGGATGCGTCGGCGGAGCGATCGGTTAGAGGCTTTGCTGAGGAGGAATTGAGCCTGGTGGATGTGAGGTGTGTAGTGACCTTTGGGGAGTAAATTGTTGGTATTTGGCGATGGAGGAGCTGAGTGAATGGCCGGGAGGGTGTTTGAGAGGCGCGGGTGATGGTAGCGCGGGGGAAAGCGGACTGAAGAGAGCGGAGTCCGCGGGGGAGGGAGGTGAATGGGCGCATGGTGTATAATTGTATGTGATTAGTGAATAGGTGAGGAATTGGTAGGTATATTTAAGGAGATGAAGATGAGAGTTGATGAACTGAAGAATCCGAGAGAAGTACTCCGTTCAAATGACGGAGGAAAGCCGGAGTTTGCGCCGGAATTTCATTGTTCCAGCTCGGGCCTCCGCGGTCTCGCCGTCTGTGTTACTTCTCCCTCTTCCTCTTGCCATCCCCTCGACCGTGAAGGAGGCGATGATTCGATGAGTGTGGCGAAGCTCTCGATTGTTGAACTGGTGGACCTTTGGATTATAAACCGATAACCTAGCTGTCCGTCTGGCTGCATTGTTTGAGCATCCGGATACGTCACTGTTCTGTGCGGCGAGGATTGCCCCGCGCATCAGAGCTGTCAATCATCTGTCTAGCTGGATGATATTTGTTCGAGTTTGCAAATATGTCTTTACGCGCAAGGAATAAAATCCGTGCTCCGCGCAGGGTAAGTCTCCTTTCTTATTTACCATTTTTCTTATGGCCTGGAGCTTGTGGTGTTGTGTGCTGAGCGAAGTTCCGTTCGATAACGAGATTGGATTCAGTAAATTGGTATGCTAATGAGAGCAACATCAGGGCATGACAGGGAGCAAAACCAACGACTTTGAAACAAGCTGGGCCGAACTTTCTACCTCGCTAAAGAAAATTCATACTAAAGATGCCTCGGCTTTGTCTTTTGAGGAAATATATCGCAAGTCCTACAACATCGTCCTGGGAATGCGTGGAACGGAATTGTACGAACGGATTCAGCAACTGGAACGTGAATGGTTAGATACCGAAGTCCACAAATTGGTGACCGGGGCCATCTCTCCGAGTCTGCTGCTGGCGAAGCAACTGGTGGATGCGCAGGACCAGGCCAATGAGCGGCGAGATGCAGGAGAGAGATTTCTGGCAGTGCTCAAGGAAGCTTGGGAGGATCATCAGCTATGTATGAAGATGATCACGGATGTTCTTATGTATATGGTAAGTGTACTATCCTCCTTTATCTGCACTGAATCCGCGTTAACTGAAGGATAATCTCATCCATCAGGACCGTGTTATGTCGACGGACCATCGAAAGCCATCCATTTATGTGGCATCAATGGCGTTGTTTCGAGACCATGTGCTTCGCGCCCCCATTCGACCTGACACCACGACGAGCGTATACGATGTATTGGAGTCGACTGTGCTGTTCATGCTACAACTGGAACGGTCTGGGCATATAATCGACAGGCCCCTGATCAGACACTGCGTGTATATGCTGGAGGGGCTCTACGAGACTATTACAGAGGAGGAATCATCAAAGTTGTACCTCACGGTCTTTGAGCCGGCATTCTTGGAAGCCAGCAAGAAATTCTACCAGGTTGAGGGGCGGCGATTGCTGGAGACTGGTGATGCTGCAACCTTTTGCAAGGTCGCCACAGAGCGTCTCTCGGAAGAGACGGAGAGGTGTATTGACACGCTGTCATCACTCTCAAAAACGAAGATCAAGGATGTCCTCGATAATGAACTGATAAAGAACAACATCGCCGAGGTGGTCAATCTCGAGGGTACCGGTGTTAGAACCATGCTGGACAATGATCGCATCGATAATCTACGAAGCGTTTACGTGCTCAGCGCAAGAGTAGACAGCAAGAAGACCCCTTTGACTACTGCCGTGCAGAGGCGGATCGTCGAGATGGGCAAGGAAATCAATGCCTCTGCAATTGCATCGCAAGTCTCGGCCAGTGCTGCAGGCAAGAAGCCCGAACCTGGTGAAAAGAAGCCAGCAGAGAAACCGGTGAACCAACAAACAGTGGCTGCCATTAAATGGGTGGACGATATCCTGCGTCTGAAGCAGAAGTTCGACAATATCTGGGAGAATGCATTCGAGTCTGATCAGGTCCTGCAGAGCGCGATAACCAGCAGCTTCTCGGAGTTCATCAACTTTTCTCAAGGTGGAGACTCGCGCAGTTCCGAATACCTCTCCTTATTCTTCGACGAGAATCTGAAGAAGGGCATCAAGGGCAAGACAGATGCCGAGATTGATATTTTGCTGGACAACGGAATCACGCTGCTGCGTTACATCAAAGACAAGGACATGTTTGAGGCATACTACAAGAAACATCTCTCTCGTCGTCTGCTGATGAAGCGCTCCGTGAGCATGGATGCTGAGCGACAGATGATCTCGAAAATGAAGATGGAAGTGGGCAACCAGTTCACACAGCGCCTGGAGTCTATGTTCAAGGACATGACCATCTCTGAGGATCTGACGTCGAGCTACAAGGAACACATGCGACAGTCCAGCGACCCCGACCAAAAGCGAATTGAATTGGACATCAACGTGCTCACCAGTACGATGTGGCCCATGGAGATCATGTCCAACGCCAGAAATGACGAGGTTCAACTACCCCCTATCCTTCCCAAGGAGGTCGACAGCGTCAAGCAAAGCTTCGAACAGTTCTATCTTGGCAAGCACAACGGCCGCAAGCTGTCGTGGCAAGCCAGCATGGGCACGGCCGATATCCGCGCCACCTTCCAACGGGCCAATGGCAAGGTCCAGCGTCACGAACTCAATGTCTCTACCTACGCCATGATCATTCTGCTGCTTTTCAACGACGTGCCCGCGGGCGAGTCACTTACCTACACTGAGATCCAAGAACGCACTCGTATCCCTGACCACGATCTTATCCGAAACTTGCAATCATTGGCCGTCGCACCCAAGACTCGTGTCCTGAAGAAAGATCCCATGAGCAAGGACGTCAAGCCCACAGACAAGTTCGTCTTTAACAACGAGTTCCAAAGCCCCTTCATGAAGGTCCGCATTGGCGTTGTCAGCGGCAGTGCCAACAAAGTCGAGAATCAAGACCAGCGCAAGGAGACGGAGAAGAAGATGAGTGAGGAGCGCGGAGCCAGCATCGAGGCTGCCATTGTCAGAATCATGAAGTATGCACTCTCCTTATACATGCTAGCGACCCACCACTAACAATGCTACAGACAACGAAAAACACTAATCCACTCGCAACTCATGACCGAGGTGCTCTCTCAGCTATCCGCACGATTCGTCCCCGACGTCAACATGATCAAAAAGCGCATTGAGAGCTTGATTGATCGCGAGTATCTCGAGCGAGTGGAAGAGGATCCTCCTACTTACGGATACGTGGCGTAGCCGATCTTCCTCTCTGCTAGTTTTCTATTCATTTTCACGGTTGTTTCCTTTTGTTTCATCGGTGGCGTTGAGCATACTGAGCATGAATGGCCTTGGACTTGAGCGGCGATGGCGCACGGTATGGACACGGAATGAAAGCGTTTCAGCCTACATAGATGTTGGTTGTTTTATCTAACTTGATGCGGATGTTTTACAATGGTGGGTGGTGTATCAGGACAAGCGAAGTGATATGCAGTGATGAGTGATGATGCATTGATGATTGATACTGAGACTGTGCAGCGCTCAAAAGTACTCATAAACGTAAACAAGCGTAGCATCCACTTCATCAGATAGTAAAAAGTAAAAACAGGTATATGTAATATGCTGCAAAGGTATAATCCCCCACCCCAACGCCTCCAATGCAATCCCCTCTCCCCCAAGAATCAATCCTACAAAACCTCAACCTCCCCCCTCCCCCAAGCCCCCCTAACCCCCTCCCACCTAACGGCCCAAACCTCCCCCATCCTCAACACCGTCCCCTCGACCTCGACCTCAACCCCATCCCCAGGAGGCACCACAACCCTAACCTCCTCAACGAGACACCTCACAAAAACAACCTCCTTCCCATCCGGTCCCTGAACCATACTAGTGCCACCCGCATTATCATCCAATCTCCTCAACTGCGGGGGGAACGAATTCAAAAACGACGCTCCATAATGCCCCGCCAGTAGTGTCTGATGCGCATGCAGAAAGGTTACTTCCTCCTTCGACAGCGGAGAAGATATATCATCTGTATCGTCCGTGAACGGTGGTGGCTCGGGGATAGAGTCCTCGGCTGTAGAAGAATCCGTCTGCGATTGCGATTGAGGTTGTTGGCGGGAGATAAGAAGTAGGTAGTGCATGCTATGCGCGGTGAGCTTTGATAGTCGTTGGCGGAGGAGAGAGCGGATGAGGTATTGGGTTCGGGAGAGGTCGGATTGGAGGATGGAGAGGGTGAGGTTGGTTGTTGCTGCGGAGTGGTGTGTTATTGGGTCGGTGGAGGAGGCGGCGAGGTCTTCGATGGATTCGATCTACAATATTTAGTAATAGGTACGTAGGTTGGGTTTTGAGTATGGGGGGAGGAAGGAGGGAGGTATATGGGGTAGGAATAGTAGATGGTTTGGGGGGCGCTGGCTACCTGTCGTCTGACGCGCTCCATCATGCGCTCCATTAAGGATGTCGGCCATGGGAGGAGCTCGGGGACCGCGCGCTCGGCGACCCAGAAGCGCGTGAGTAATTGGTGGTCGAGGGCGGTGGATTCCGGAGTGGATGTGTCTGCCGTGCGGTCGACGGAGGCGAGAATGTCGTCGATGTCCATTGTCAATTGATCAATGTTGTGTGGTTTTTGGTTTTGGTGGTGGTGATGATGGATGGTGAGGGGAAGATTTGCGGCGGAGGAGCAGCGCGATGGACGGAATGGATTGGGTTGTGGGTAGCGGAGCGGAGGTGCGACAGGCCGCGATTTCATTGGGTCCGCTGCGGAGATACATCGCTGCCGCTGCTTTGCCTACTAACGTTACTTATTACATGTCCTCTACGGGATGTTTACAGGATGTTTATGGGTGTAGTCACGTATTTGAAAAGTTCATCTCATCATTGTCCAACATAGGAAATTAGTCCTTTAACCTCCAATCCCCCATACATTATAGTCGGGCCAGTAGCCGACCAGGTTCGTGGTTTATGTATGTACACCTGCACGAGCATTCTCTTCGCAGGCAAGCTCTGGCTTCTTCATGCCAGCTCTTGTCTTCCAATAGCGAGCGTGCATGTCAAGATTATCTCCTGAGTGAGCCGTATGTCGATATGTACTGTGTGGACGGCGTGTAGCGTGGCACCCCCGTAGCTTTATACAGGAGCTCGGGGTGGATGATTAAACGACGGTAGAGAGTAATAGGAAATTAGTCGCAGAAAGAAATGCCAGCTGGCGAGGTATCATAAGTCGATCACGAATGTGTCGAAGATCAAAGTGGTCGTCAAAAACATAGGAAATAAAATCCGAAGGGAGTGGTCGGATAGCAAGAAAATGGGGTCGAACTCGGTCGAAAGGTGAGGTGCAGGTCGCGAGAAGCAATGACTCGTCTTCAGATCGTAAAGCAAAAGGTACTCCAGTAAGTCAAACCAATCGTCATCAGAATGGCCGTGTAATAACCGCACGAACCCCCAATTGATAGGAAAGAAACCCAAGCAAACGAATGGTGTGGGATGCAGTGAGACAGTTGACGCCACTGCTATCCCAATGCAAAGCGCTGACGCCAAAACCCAGAAACTCACTAGGAGCAATTGACCCGCAGTGGCCAAACTGTATCTGAATGTCGAACGACAGGTAAAAGAAATCCAAAGGAAGGCCCGTAAGGTGGTATCAATTGGCAGCACACCATGACATCCATAGATCACGGCGTGTGCCAGGTACAGTTAAGGAAATATTCCAACTCAGTAGGAAAGCATACGTCGGCCGGAGAAGCGTCCAGATGCCGGACTCTCGGCGAATGGGGAGCCGAGAAACCGGTTGCGGTCACCAGCGTTGTTGCGACACCTCCCCGTCGGACTGTCTTCCATCTGGGGGGAGTGCTGACCAAAGGCAAACGTCTGCGCTCGGTTGAGCTTGGACCTCTGCTTGACCTTCCCGAGGCCACGCTCGCAGGCAAACTCGTGTTCCTTGGCGCTCATCTCAACATAATTTTGTGGATAGCATAATGTCCGGTGTTCCGCAAAGAATGCGCTGTAGCCACCCTCCAAAATGTACATGTCAGGATAGCTGAGGTGGGGATATTGGTCCACGTTATAGGCACGATCCTTGTGCCGGATATACTTCGCCATGATCGGGGCCCGATGGGCGGAATATTCGCAATGAAAGACCAAGGCCGTCCGCGGCTTTGGGCTTGCGAAGAGTTCGGCGGCCAGAAAGTCCTTGTCGTTGTAGTTCACGGCTCCGGTGATGTGCCCACCCTCGTACTCATACTCGAAGCGGCAGTCGACGACCATGATGTTATCGAAACGATCATTGTACTTGCCATCCAGGAGCTCCACGAGGATACTCTTATCGATGCGAGGCAGTGTATCGGCCTGGTCCTCAGAAAAGGTGTGAGGGAGCTGCAGGCTCGGGGTTCCTTCAATGTCGGGGATCGACGGAAGTGGTGCATTTGTAGTATAGTTAGCCTCTTTATCGACAACAATATCCTCCGGGTGCTCAAACATGCTCAACGAGCGTCGGCACTGTTTCCGAGGGCGCGTCATCGGGTGGGAATTTTTGCGGATCGAAGCCGCCGTGGGCGAGCCATTGCCGCGGACATGGCTCCCACTGCTTCCAAGTTGCGGTCTCAGACGGGGATTGATCAGGATTCCGCTGGAGTGGCGACTCAATGATGGCCGTTCCCGCTGTGGTGACTCGTTGAACATGTCCTCCAGTGATGCAGATGCGCTCAGCGATGTTTTCCCTCCTTTGCTCTGGAACTTGAATGGTGGTGCCTGGCTCTCCGGGGCGGGTTTGGTCATGCCCAGCTGAAAGGTCTGGGCTTTGCTCCTGGCTAAACTTGGCCGCAAGAATGTCGGACGTCTTCTCCTACAGACACAAATGCAATTAGATCCACATCGCCCAAAGTCACGTCCAAGCACTTCTCTCTTACTCTTGCAGGCTATCCTTTTGCTGGACGAGGGGCGATTCCTCGAGTGGGCTAGCGGCGGCAGACATCATCGGAGTATCCATTGTAGAATCCAGGCTAGGCGAGTCAAGTTCGGCTTCGGTCAGAAGGCCGAACGCCGGCTTATGCGGTAACGGGGACATTTCCATGATATCCATGGCGGGAGCAGGCGAGGACGCGGGCAGTGGAGGTGTGGTCATAGACTCTGCTCTACAGTTAAGCAATCCACCCCTCTTATGACCTCAATTGGGAGTGTCCTCTTACCACACCGGTTACTATTCCCGAGCAGGCTCGCAGTGAACAAAGACCGCCGGGGCGTTGTCAGCTGCGGACTAATTTTGGGGTGTTAGTGAATCCCTTCATGGGTGGACCAGACATTCGGAACAAAGACCCGAACCCAACGGCAGAACGAACCTTTGATCAATGTGAAAATTTTGAGACAGATCCGCGGCGAGGCTAGCCGTGGGAGACGAGCCTCGAACGGGTTTCACATTAAAATAGTCCCCATGGCCTTTCTTCATGGAGAGGTCTTTGAAGTTGAAATTCTTGTGGCCCAGTCCACGCATTGGACTGAAAGAAGTATAGGATGTCGGTGCATCTGCACGAAAGCAATGCCCAAACATCACCGAGGGGGGCTGCATGGCAGCCAACGGGGACGAATGTTCCATTCTTGCCGGAGAATGGTAGTCTTCCGCGCTCTCTCTGGTATTCCACGCCCAAAAAAGTCGACGACCAAGCGAAGTAATAGCTAGTAGCCAAGAAACGGACGACAGATACGGTGCGGACTATATCTATCCGGCATACACTACACGGCAGATGTGGTACAATCGTAGTCGTCGTAGTCTATCCAGCTCCTTGCACTCCTCCTAGTAATTCCCGACTTGTCTCAGATCCCGAACCTTCACAGAATGTAATGACGGCTTCGAGAAGTCTTTAACTGACCAGTCCGAAACCGCACTACTCGGTGACGAAGCCGTCGGTTTAGAGTGACATAGCTGGGGTATCCAGTTGGGGGGGATCAAGGTGATTTCGGCAAGGGTATGGGTTGGAACAGGAAGCAGGTCGGACGGGCAAGATGGCTAGAGAGAGAACCGCAGACCAGATCAGCAAAGGCACATCCTCACAGCGAAGAATTAGGGGGACGGGATGGTTGCAGATAGGCCATAGATATGGTACGCTAATGCAGTCGGGGGAAAGTTACCGAAGAGAAGAGGACTGAATGCGGGACTGGGCCTGGGCGAAGCTCACACGACGGAGCATGGGAATGAGGAGCAGGGGAAAGAAGCTCTTAAGAAGGAGGTGGAGAGCAGACGTTTAAGAGCTAGCTAGGGAGAGAGAAAGAAGGAAGAGAAAGAAAAAAGGTCTGGAGAAAGTGAAGCTGAAGGGATGCCCTTGTTGCAATGGCAACGCAAAAGTGGGGAGGGATCTCCAGATGCTCTGCGCAGAGCTTAAGCGACGATGGGTTAGGCTGTGTCAGAAAACCAATGTCGAACCGGTTTGGTCCATGACCGCATTAAAGGATTTGACCCTTCAGAAAAAAAAAAAAAAAAAAACCCCCCAGGCAAGACACCGCCTGCTCTTTTGCTTGGTTGCTTGGTTGCTTGCTGTCTCTGCAAGGCCTGGCTAGTTTCCTATTGAGGAGTAGATTGACCTCTTTCATTCTTGGAGAAAGGATTGATTGATTGATTTCTTTACTGTTCTGGTTTGGCCGGAGAATAGAAGCGACTGACGACTATGCTACTGCTCCCTAACTAAACTATCTGGTATTTCCGAATAGCCGCCCTAGTATCCAAATCGGGCTCTACTTACTTTGGTTTAATTCGTGAGTAGATTTTCGTTTTCTCTTCAATTTTATTTCCCTTTTCTCTCTTCCTCTCCGGGCGCATATTGAATTTTGCAGTGACAGCTGTAGGTACCTTCCAACATACATACATTAGATACGCATACCAAGGAAGATTTATTTCCTTGTTCGGGAAGGAAAGGAAAGGTACCAATACCATACAGTTATGTACGTTGTATGTATATGTAGTATGGGTATGGGTATGTGTATGTATGTATGTACGGAGTATAGAAGTTGTCGAGTGACCTTCCAGAGTCAGGCATAGTCATCTCCAGAGTAAGTAGGTACCCGGACTGGGACTAGTCCAGCCAGGCTAGGGCTCTGGGCGCCCCTCGTTGCCGGGACTCCCTTGCCGCCAGCACCAGCGCTAGCCGCTGCTCAGCAACCCCCCGCCTATCAGCGTCCTTACTGCCTCACCCGCTCACTATCGTCTTAGTAGTCCTCTACCAATCTCGGCGGGCTGGCTGAAAAAAAATGGTCCATGATGGATCGTGCCTGTCTCACGGAACAAGTGAAAAGAGAGGAGAAAAAAAGGGTACCGGAGTACTGTTCTTTCGGCCTTCTTTTCTTTCCATTACTAACTCAACTGCGGAGGCAAATTATGGGTCCCCCTCTTTGTATTTCGTTTTTTGACAGGTTTCACCTATGTAACAAACTCGCCGAATATTGCTGTAGAAACCGTTGGTTCCAAATTTGCTTTTTTCCCTTTTTCCTTTCATTTTTTTTCGCTCTGCATAGTACAGCGAGGTATTACTTCGGGACACACAAGACAAGACTCAATCTCTCTGCTAAGCGCCGTGTCAGTTCTCTTTCCGACCAAGGCTGACTATTACCTAGTATTCGATGGTTCATTCCTCCAATTACAATCCTGGCTTAGACTCACTCCCTGGCTAGGTCAATCAATTAATCTAGGTCCAGCTCAATGCCTCCGACGGAAATAGATGGACGAACTAACACCCACTTGGGAAAAGTCCTAGGTCGTGGTAGGTATGGGTAGGTAATTAGGTATGCGATCACCCCAGGCATCTTTTCAAACTATCTACCTACTACCTAGTATGGAGGGGATATTTTTTTCGGCCGATCGACCAGTCAAAGCAGCAAGTGGACGGGATAAAAATCTGAAATCCGATCAATAATATTATCTTCCCGTGTGTGCCGTTCGATTTTTTCTGCGTTCGACTCTATACATCATTCCCGAGAACCAAAAAGAGAGATCGAGTCTAATAGAATCTCCACTTGGGCTCCACTGAGTCGGAAAAAAGAGCTTGTCCGGTATCATTTCTCAGGAACGGGGTTTCCATGGTATAATTGCGAACCTTGACTAGCAAGTAGAGCTGTCATACATACGTAAAGCTTCAATCACCTGGTAACTACCAGGTATCTACCGCCCGTCGACTGACCATGCCATGAGGTATTGCTCTACATCAAGACTTGCCAAAATTGAACCATTCCCGCCATGTTCTTGCTCCAAAGTCATGTATCACAGACTTAAACCCACATACCGACTGATTAGATCATCGCTGCCTTCACAGGCACAACCTCGTCTCCGATCGGAAAAATGGCCGGCTTTGCCGGATTGAGTAATGCCAGAGCAACTGCACCACTGGAGGCCTCAGATCCGAGCATGCCACGCGCTTAACTTCCCTCCAGTAGTGAAGCGACTTTCTGCAGAAGAATCTTCTTCGGCCTCCGCCGTGACCAGCATGGAGGAAGTATGCCACTATCAGATCCACTTAGATTTTGTGCAACTCCAGCATCTCTCTTCTTTGGCAGATCTTCATAAGAGAGGGAGCATTCAGGTATTTCTTCTTACGGACAGCTTGACTGCTTCAGACACACGGCACACACACACAGTAATCGGGCTTCAGGGCAGCAAAAGATCTGATGATGGTCCCTCCAGACTGGATTTTTCGCAACCCCTCTTGCGCACAGTCTTCATGGTGGCCCGTTCTTCACACTCACATCATTCCCTTACGTTGGCCCTCACTCTGCTCTGCCCACATTCCTGCAGACCTTGGCCAGGGATATCCTCCCTTCCTTTCAACAACCATCTCAGGAAGGTGCTTTGATAACAAGCCGTGTGGGATCTTATCGCTGCTCTCGACAGTGGCTTTCCAACAAGGAGCAATTGCTCCAGCAGAGAGCTCCGTCCATGTCTACGCCGTGAGGCTGAGGCCGTCTAGCTTACGGCTCTAGACCTAGCCGGGTGTGGGGATCAGTGTACACTCCAGCTGAAGCAGGATTTCCTGTCGTACCCGAGAGGCTGACGACGTCACTTTGGCTGATACACTCCTTCTCCGCCACAACGAGGGGCCAAACGGCATTCTGGAGTCATGCAATCCCCGAGCCAGTTATGGGGGGGGGTATAGCTCTCCACCATTCGGGTTCAATCTCCTCGATCTCTATGATATTGCCTCGAAGCTAGTGCTGCCTCGTGGGCCATGAAAATAGCTCGATCGAATAAGAGAGGGGCCCTCCTCGCTGTTACCATTACACCGCCACGGATAGCGAGATCGGTAAGCTCCTGCGAGCAGCGATCGCATCATTGACCACTCACAATGATCATTTTTTCCGTTGTCCCAAGGCCAGAGGCCCCTCACCTGTGAGACACCGGACGGTCCCAATGATGATCCCTTCCCTCGCTCCGAACGTATTAGCGCTAGAGCTCATGAGGGTCCCGATTGAGCAACAACAATCATCCCCCTTGAGCGAAGACACCCGGAAAATGCGGCTCACCCGCGGTGTCTACGCGCCAGGAAGGGCGCTAGCCCCAAGAACTATCAGAAGCAATATCGCTAGAGTGACAGTCGGTTCCGCCATTATTGAGGACAGGTGGGTAGGCATTGATTGTACAGAGTAAGTTCAAGGCGACATCACTTTTAAGGGTATTAAATAGATGATTGATTTACGCGGAAGAGGGGGGAGTTCTCGTGCGGCTGAAGGATCTACTGAGTGTCTATTTGTTCGATTATAGGCGCCGGGAACTGATCTGGACCGTCGCCCGCGTGAAAAGCGAGCCGTGCTAAGCCGGTTAGTGTTCCTTTTTCCTACTTACCTCGGATCTTTCGGTGGAGTAGTCGGGGATGTTGACGGGCTTCTCCGTCACCTGAGTGGCCATGACATGCGCTGTTATCTGTCGGCCAGGCAGCCCAGACACGTCCGCGGACCGGGCATCAGCGTCGGGCGCTCTTGTAAGTGTCAACAATCCCTGCTAGTGGTCCGCGTCAAAATGGTCCAGTATCAGCAACAGCCTTGGCAGGCCAGCAGGAAGCGCTGCTGCGGGGTTTCAAATGGTGATGGGGTCCCTGATTGGGCTAATCCTGCAGCTTTAAGTGCTCGTGCTCCAGAAAGGCTGTCTGCAACTTTATTTAGATACGGTGAATGGGGGGGATGATGCTATCTTCTCCCTTCCCCTCCCCTCTTGTCCCCTCCGTTCGGACTGGAGTGCTCCCAACTTGCTTTCCCAGATCTGCCTGGCCGGAATCGCGTCGATTGGAGGGAACCAGTCGTGATGTCACATGGAGTGGGAAAGTCTTGCAGGAAACCTTCTCTCATCCTTCCCTTCCCGCACCCTCCGGTATCTGCATGTCACCACTGTAACTGTATGTGCGTATGTATGCGCTGGCACACCACCCACACCCACACCCACACGGTCGGAGGGGAAATAATCCTGGTTCGTGATGAGTCCTGCAGATGACCCGGCTGGCATTGTTTATCACTTTCCGTTCTGGCTTCTGCTGTAAACAATAACAATGGTGGTGAACCGTGGAACCCCGGAGTCTCCCCTCCCCCGACGACGCGACCGGCAGAGCGTGGTCCCGTGACTTGTTCCCGATGCGACCATCCCCCCGTCCCCAGTAATAACTCCATGACATCACCGAGATTTCTCCCTTCTTTGTCCATCGTTGCTCGCCTTGCTTGTCCCTTTCTTGCCGCCCTTCCTTGCTCACCCCCTTCCCAACCCTTCTCCATGGCTCCCTATTCTGGTCAATAACAACTGATTCGGGCCAGTCCCAAATTTGTGCCCAAGGCGAGATTCCCCTTTCACCTCTTTGATGACTTATTTTGTCCATCCCACCTGCGATGGTGCTGGGACCCGTAACTAGTGAGTCTAGATACGATCGGGGAAGCGATCTGCGGAACTATCGCCTAGTGACCCAGATCTTCGTCCTCTGGCCATGTGTTCTCGTTCACACTGTAAACAACCGGCCTGTTATTGCCTCCTAGATCCGATCTCGCAGTGTAGTTGAAGGCATATTCGATGTGCACATTACTATCTGATTTTCTACCATAGACAGGAGCTTAGAAAAGCTTATTCCAAACAGGAGCGCATTAGCCACACTCACTGGCGCTTATCCCCAAGTGCATATCTGGGGATGTTACCGAGGACTGCATGTAAGCGCAAGATATCGTCTACTCACCAAATAGATGGCCTTATCTTAGATCTCCTGAGTTTCACCATGCAAGCATGGCTACCTAGGTATCCGGGGTGAACATCACGACCCCAGTAATATCAAGATAATATCGATCGCATATGCATATATTTGCCCCTTCTTTAGGAGCAGAGCACCCTTGCCAAAGGCGACATCTCTTAACCCCATACAACCCTGTTGGATAGTTATCAATCAATAACCCACTCCTACCAATGAATCCTCCAATACTATCCACACCCCCCAGCACCGCACAACACAGGGGTGAAAGGTTATCTAGGAGAATAAAGACAAGATATCGGGTCAATAATCCGCACGATAACCCCTGCAAGTCTATCTAGCATATCCTCACCTTTACCGTTTCGGCACATCCATGATCGCCATTCCTGGGGCCCAGCCACCCATCCAAACTAATATCTATCTATCCCCTTCCCAGCCCTACTACCATTACTATTCCAACCTTTATCATAAGGTTTTCCCTTTCGTAGCTTAGTCCCAATTATCTGCACGAAATTCCCCGTTTCTTCGAAGGATATCTCCTGCAGGTACGCCAGGTACCAATTAAACATACATGCACCCATGCGCCGCCCCTTGCATCGGTATGTAGCTAACAGCTATATGGGCCATTCACCCCGCATGTATACAGGATAAGCTTCTCCCTCTGGGATTGAGTTTAGTGTTTCTAGGAGGGTGGAATTGGTGGTGCTCTTTTAGTAGATACTCTAGTTCACGCTATAGCACACATACCCTACTACGGTTCAGAAGAGTTTAGTATGAAGTGAAATCTTTCGCCATGTTTCTAATTAAGCTCTAAGTTAGCGACAGTCGTAGAAATGTTTCTCTGTCGGCAATTTGCAAACTTGTAGGAATTCCTTATTCGGGATGGGCGTCGTTAGAGTTAATTCTCTGGTATAATCTTAGCATCGGATGAGTTTTGTGCGTAACTATAGTACAATACGTGCATTCCTGGTATCATCTCGAACGTTACAATCATGATACTCACTTACCTACTTACTGCAATCAATAATCTACAAGATAGATACTACCTACTCAAGATAGTAAGCCACTTACCCAGTTATCCCCAATAAAACCAATACTTCCTACTCCTTTATCAAGGACCATCAATTTATCCAGACATATGGTCAACTATGCCGATAGTAATCATAGCTACCACCACCACCAGGAATGCAGTCTATACCCATCTAAGTAGAAAGTCACGCCGTTAGGGCAGATCATTTCACGGGCGACTAGTCTACTAAACTACCCTGCAAGCTCACATTGACTTCTAGTCGAGTTGGGGCCTGTTATAAACCGTTGCGTAGCCCGCACATGCATGCCTTAGCATTCCATCCCATCCTGCTTTTCTACTGAAGTGTCTCCACTTGACTATTTGCTGAAGAATACCAGCCCTGGATGATCAATTCGCTACGCTACTACGTACTGTCCCATTGCTCACTGCTGAGGTATGGACTAGTGCTGGGTGGAGGGTGCTAGACTAGTAGCCGTTGGGCTAGGAGGTGTCAGTATGTGGATTCACGGGTGGTGAGTTATCTCTTGGTTGTGAGTTGTGAGTTGTGGGTTATAGGGCATGCCACTAGTCCTGCTGACTTGCAGGATTCCTAACGGTTGTAAGTCTACTAGTAGGTAGGCAGGTAGTTACGTAGGTGAATGTTCATCCCTATCTCTCTGATTACTATTCTGTAGAGCACTCTGTGCTACGTTACTTCCTCAATTAGGTATAGGAATACTAGTATAGTCTACTAATTGTGTATTCTTACACACGAAGCTACCAATAATATTCAATTCCTTCACAGGACAACATATTAGCTACCAATAATGAACCAAAGTAAAGCAACATTAAAATCACGAGTCCAATATACTCCTAGCAACAACTCCATACCTTGGTCAACCCCAGTAAGGGATAGATACTCTATATCATATATTGAATACTTCCAATTTGTAAGTACCAGGTGGATAGCATTGATAGAATCAATGCCACTTGTGCCTTCTATAATCGAGTAAGAGGAAACCGATGCGTCGCTTGTTTATTGGCGGCTAAACCGCCGGCCCCAGTCGTCCATTGAGAATGCAGGGATTTCTTATCCCTCTCCCCTCTTTCCATTCATTTATGAAGATCCGCAGCTAGCAGGAAAGGGAAGGAATGGCGGGTCTTTTGGTGGGTTGGTATAGGAGTTACGTGGCAGGCTTGGGGTTGGATTTGGGGATTAGTTATGGGGTGTATGTATTCTAACGGGGGTAAAGGTGTAGATGATTATGGTCTGAGAGTAGGCAATAATGAAAGTCGATGATTGGGGTTGGTGTTGGGGATGTTGGTATTGGATTGTTAAATGTTGGAACATATCTCCATCTGCTGTTACATATGTCGCTATCACGATCTACTGGTAAGCGCACAACATTGGATGATGGAAGCAGGGAACAAAGTGAGTGCCTGGTAGATATGTATTTGGTAGTAATGATATTAGAGGGCGTATAGAGAATCTCTTGAAGATATAACACTAGTAAACAAGAACGGGCTTCTTTCGCCTTGCTGAGGATGTTCTCGTAGAGGTGGCATGTCGTGATATAGCGTTATAGAGGTTATCCATATAGTAGCATAGACTGCTCATCAAGTACTGACTTGCTGGTCTGTATATATACCATTTGTAGTAGATACACAGATTAATCATAAGTCTGCTTGATTTATATATTGCTAGTGCTAGTATATATAACTTGTTCATAATGGAAAGAGTCTCACTACTGGTACTAGTACTATATATTCTTGCCCTACTTATACCACCGACTATATGAAAGGAGCAGTCATTATGGCTTTATATTTTGCTACTTCCTTGCTTAGTTCTGTTCACAAAGCAAGCAGAAGGTAAAGTGGAGTAAAGATATTTCTCATGTAATTTTCTCAATCAGCATGCATACCCCTACTAGTATATATATAATCTGAGTTGTCGGTTGTGCACAGCCCTATCCATGTAGATCAGACTAATATGCAAGATTATATTCAGTCTCCCGCTAGCTACAAGAGATAAGACGTGGAAAAAGCCTCAGATAGCCATAACCAAATATACCACACTGTTGCTCAGACAAATAGCATAATTGAAATAAAAGAAACTGACGACCAGAGTGTATTTCTTGACGATGGCGCCACAACAATGCCGTCCTTTGTTCTGTCTTGTACCCCACACAATGAAGCATGGAAAAGGAAATGAGGTAGAAAGAAACAATTATTTCACTTCAATATTCACTCTCCTCATTCAACTTCCTGACTGCTCTTATGCGGTCGTTACAAATCTTGCAACCTTCATGCCCAGAAGCGCCTTTGTCCAGAAAAGCCTCAACCGCTTCGTGACTCCCCTGCTGCGTCGAAAAATGAATAGGTGGTATTCCAACATTGTCTAGTATATTCATGTCTGCCCCAGCCTCTGCCAGAAACATAATACATGACACAATAGAATGCGTATATCTAGAGCGTGACACACGGTGTAAAGCCGTCTCTCCCCACCGGTTCTTGGCATTAACATCGAAACCGGCGGCTAGAAGCTGCTGAATTATAGAGGTATTTCCAGTTTCCATAGCATAGTGCAGAGCATTATCGCCGGCATTATTACCGGCAAACACGGCATTCTTGCTCATTTTGCTCAACAGCAGCTGTACAGCACGTGGGTGGTTATACTTGACTGTAAGATGTAGATAGCTCTCGCCATCCTCGTTGAGCTGCTTGATGTTTTTGCTGGATTTGATCATCGTCAAGATAAGCTCACGGTCCTGGTAGTCCCTGGATGTTTTCAGGATATTGTGAATAGGTGTTCGGCCAATGCCGTTCGGTATGTCAACATCTGCCCCTGCCTCGAGCAAAGAGCGAATTATGCCAGAAGCCCGAGTCTGATCGTACGTAATTTGACATGCGAAGTAGAGTGGTGTATGCTTGAATAGTGAGTTCTTTGAGCTGGATACATCGACTTTCACCCTTCCAGATTTGGCCAGCTTTAGAATCCTGGCTGTAGCTTTGAAATAATCAGTATTTGTGTCATGTGATACTGCCAAATCGAACAAATACGTCAGGAGGCATGATTCTAATGCGTCCGATGTCCATAAGGAAGGTGCACGGTCAAGAAATAGCTCAAAAACTCTCTTAGAGCCCTTCAGCGCGCTTTTTCGGGTCCTAGACTTATTCGAAGCATCTACACATGCTCCGGAGTCTAGAAGTAGTTTGAGGAGATCCAGATTGACTTGATAATGTTCCATGACTTGGAGCAGTGGCGTCATACCATCTCCATTTGCTATGAAGGGGTCACCGCCAGCAGCTTGCATTGCGCTTATTAGCAGCCTTGCCAGCTCTATGTTACCCTGAGAGCAGGCAATGAACAAGGCTGTTTCCCCCGACCCATCTATTTGAAAAGGGTCAGAGCCGTCAGCGAGCAAAAGCTGCACAAGTGTGATATCTTCTCTTGAGGTGGCTGAAAGGAGATATCCCTCAGAGCTAGCGTCAGTCGAGCTGAAATCATAGCCGGAATCCTTGAGAGCATGAAAGATCATTGTGGGGATATCTGTGTTTGTGCAATCCTCCATCATCTCGTCACCGAGCACTCTCAGAATGGCTTCCTGGGCGTATTGGACTGAGTCAAGCAGGTATCGGACCACGGCCGACTTCTTGCCTACTATGGCTGTCTCCAGTGGTGTATGGCCGTTCTCGTCCTCGACATTGGCATCTGCTCCGGCTTCAATCAAAGCCTGAACAACATGCAGATGTCCTTCACTGGCAGCCCAATGCAAGGGTGTATTTTCAAGCTTATCTCGCGCGTTGACGTTTGCGCCCCTAGATAACATGAGCTTCACAAGGCACAAGATTACCCTCAAGTGCAAATCGGTGCAGCAATGTTTGACAACAGTAAGCCCGACATATATCAGACAGGGACTTTTCAAAGTATTCAATGATATGAGGGGATTTCCAATGCTTAGTGTGCTTCCAAGCGGGCCAACGGCACATGTAACATCCGCGCAGGAGCCATTGAGATAGAAGCTGGGGCGTCAAAAGTTGTGAATATCGCCTTGCAGTACGGGCAAAGGCGGCCAGTGATGGTGGTTCCAGGAAATCGCCTATGCAGACGATAAGCTCCGCAGGAATGAAGTCAAGACTCGTAGTTGAACTCATTGTGGATACCCGTTAGGTTCGTTGACAAGCTAGCGAGGAGTAATATGAGTGTATAGTCTGTGAAGGAGGGAGTGAAAGGTTGAGGCAAGGATTGGACTTGAAATGTTGCAAGTCTATATATCCCCTGTAGCATGGCTCAAGAGTTTAATTGGGTTCGTCAAATCTCATCCACTGCAACGGCAAGAACCATGAAAGGACTGATATCAACGACAATACTCTCATTATTCCGAGAGAGCGGTCTTTCATTGTGGAGAAGTTAGGCTCAGGCCATCTATCTTGACGGTTGCACCACAATGGAAAGGCATCTTAAAGACACCAATGGGCGGAAACGACGGGTTTTCGCATATAGGAGCTTCATATAAAGATAGAAAAGTCCCTTACCCCTCTATCATTGGCTGATACCATGGATTCACAAGACTGAGCAAGCTCACTCCATCAGAATAACTTTAAAACAAACCCCTATTCTATAAGGCAGGTTCCTATCTCCTGGCTCCATAAGAAATGGCTGTTTCCTTTCTCCGGTGCGTCACCAATCCTTGTGGAACAGACCATCACGAAGCATTGATGAAAGATACTACAAAGGGAAAAAGCAATGCAATATTCTGAGTGTCACCATCCTATCCACCGACGAACCTCCGTCGGGCATCTATGCGCGGCAATCGTTTGTTAGCTAGATGCTACTATGGACAGCTGCGCGTACTTATCTTTAACTAAGAGCACATCGGTATAACCCATATGATGTCTTCATTGACAAGCCCACTGCATACCAAGCCTAAGATTTTTATTTCTATTTTTTGATTATCTTTTTTTGAGAGCCCATATCAGCTCATTAAGAATGTGGAGGAGCTAAGCTTATATTGTCCCGGAGCTATCTTTCTCTCCAGGTCGGAGATAGATTGACAGAAGGCCGCTATCGACGGGTTCATAAGCTTGGGCATGGAGGGCACTCCACTATATGGCTGGCCCGTGATCTACAAAATTCCAGATATGTCGCCGTGAAAGTCATCATTGCATTTTCCAGTGGTAACACAGATGAACCTGGTCTGCTTCGCTACCTAAGAGCGTCATCGGAAAAGCCTGGAGGGGATCTTGTCCGGCCTCTCCTCGACGAGTTTTGGGTTGCTGGCCCCGTTAAGAGGCATAGATGCTGTTTCACTATCCAATTCGAATGAGCTCTTTGGATGCGAAGGAATCTTTAGGGATTGAGCTTTTTTCAGCCCAGCTTGCGCAGTCAATAATCGATCAACTCATTCCTGGAATTGCTTTTCTTCATAGTGAAAATATTGCCCATGGCGATATGTAGTTATTACACACTCCTAGCCGTATAGACCGATTAATCATCTTATCAAGATTCTCATCTAGGAAACGTTCTAGTCGAGTTTCCGAAGGCAATATATACGATTTCCACGCTATAATCGTACTCGAGATATGGAAAGCCAGAGTCGGAGCCCATTATTCGCGATGATGGCGATGTTCTTTCAGACCGCGTACTTGTTAAGGCTTTCTTTGAGACCTGGTTTGGCGTATAAAGTCAAGGACTTCCTCTCAAAGAGACAGAGATCTCTTTGTGTAATTTTGGAATGTCTTAGAACCCATACATAAAGTCCCGACAATTCTCAGAAACCATATTCTTCTTTCAGCCACCAGAGAATAGGTTTCCCAGCAAGCCATTCTCCTTTCCCTCAAGCATATGGGCATCGGTCTGTACAATATGGGAGATCTCCGGCGCGTGGTCTTTATGCAGAGACTTCCTTCCAACCTTGACCTGGTTTGATGTGGCCAATGCTACGATATGAGCCAGGTGAGAGAGCCACGGCAGAGCATTTGATGCAGTCGAAATGGATGACGCGCTGCGGATTGCCGGCTATGGAACAGGGTTTGAACACGAACGCGGATCTGGAAGACAGAAAGGCAGACCCTCAAATCAGTTAAGAGACAATATAAACCTAGATAGCATCAACGAAGTCCATTTTTCCTCTCTAGGCCAAAGAGCCTTTTCTTTATTAAGGGGATTACCCCGACCTAGAGTGCCATGGCATGAACAACGGCGGCACAAATGATCCTTGAATTAGTTGCCCTGTAAATACCGTTAATATTGTGGCAACATCCTAAGCTGTCTCATGTGTGAGTTACAACTACACTGCATAGTAGTTGATAGCGGTTCGATATACTGGAGCCTGCAATCTAGCGGCATCATATGCAGTGCGATAAGATAACAGCGACTGAACAGTACACAAAGTGTTTTCGCATCATACCTCAGATCTTCTCCAGTAAAAGCCCCCACATAAAGCAGATCAGTATTGTGACTCAACTCATAGCCATATCATTTCGATTTAAACAAGTACAAACACAGCAATAGATAGTGTAGTATAGTGAGTTATGAGTATAAGTTGGGTTATGTAAAGAGCCAAGCCGTCCGGGGCGCGCTAACCCGATTAAGCCAATCGCCTCATAAATTTTCGGAAGCGGAATCGCAAGCAACTCCTGCATCCCAGTCGTCGTGGGTCTGTCCAGCGACTGTCTTATGATTGATTCATCATCCTTGAATCATTTCAATACATCTAATTAGTGGTGTGGAAGTTTTTAATTCTTCATTCCCCGCAATGGCGCAAAACAATGCCGCGTCCAAAAAGCGGCGCCGTGAGCCGGTCAACGTCGACACCAAATTGGTCGAGATCTATGAGGACCTCGCTAATGAGAAGGACGAGATCAGATTGAAGGCTGCCCAAGCCCTGGTATCTCAGTTCACTTCCGACAAGAACCCCGCCGATGAGCAGATCAAAAAAACCTTGCAGAGACTCTTCCGTGGTCTCTGCAGTAGTCGCAAAGCCGCCAGAATTGGCTTCTCTATTGCATTGACTGAGGTTCTGTCTCAGGTCTTTGGAGCTCCCCGCGAGTCGTCCGAACTGAATATCTCGACTGTCATGAACATCTGGGAGTCTCAGTCTAATGCTTCTGGTGGTGAGTCTGGTCAGGTAAATATATCCTTATCTAGGTCACATCTTATTCTATAATGCAATGCTTACTTTACGCTACAGGAACAAAGAGACCACTATTTCGGTCGTCTGTTTGGTGCTGAGGCTATCATCAAGTCCTCCATTCTGTTCAAGCCCAACGCTCCATTCAACGAGTGGACTAAGCTCCTGGACCTGGTGTTTGAACTGGCCAAGAAGAAGCCCTGGATCCGGGAGGAGTGCGGCTGGATCATCTATCGCTGCATCTACGAACTTGCGGCCCAGAAGGCTGATGCTAAGTTCCTGGAATCCGCACTTGAGCGTCTGTGCTCGCACGATCTTGCACGCACCCCAGAGGGAGTGGCCATCTGGCTCGCTGCCAAGGACCTGTTCCCGGAAGTAAAGTTCCCCAGTAAGGTCTGGAAGCACGATGATCCTCTGGACGCAAAGGAGAGGAATCAGCTGGCCAAGGTTATGAAGGAGTCTTCCTCTGCTGATTCCGAAAGTGAAGGCGGAATCAAGGCAAAGTCGACTGGAGTCTGGAACTCAAAGCTTCACTTTGCCTGGGACACTGTCATCAGCAGACTTGCCGATGCTCCGACAAAGGAGAGCAAGTCGAAGGGTTCTTCATCCCGTATCAGCTTCGCTGACTTCTGGACGGAAGTTGTCGACAGTGAGTTTCTCCCTCAGTTGTGGTGGCATCTATCTAACATAATTGTCCAGACGGCCTCTTCGCCTCTTCATCTTCAGAGGAACGTAAATACTGGGGCTTCCTTCTGTTCAACAAGGTCATCAACGAATCTCCCCTGAGCTTGGCTTCCCTGGTGTTTACGAAGAACCTCGTCAGATGTCTGATGAACCAGCTTGCTGTCGAAGACAGATACCTACACCGCATGGCCGTGAAGGTCGCAAAGGCCGTCCAGACACGTGTGTCCAAGGAGCCCGAGTTCGCCGCCGCTTCTGTGCATGGTCTCATGAGCTCAACCGGGTCTGTGAACTTCGACCAGGCAACCAAGACGAAGACCGTGGAGAAGATTGTCGCTGAAGCCAACTTGGCCGCTCTGAAGCAGATCGTTCCGCTCTTCGAGTCCCTCATTGCATCCCCGGGAACGACTGACAGCAAGGCTGCTGCGTCGAGCCGCCAGTTCTTGGCCGGTCTCCTCCTGTCCATTGTCCGTGCGCGGGCTTCGGCCAGCGACGACGAGGATGGCATGCAGAAGATCCTTGAGAAGATCCTCTTTGCTTTCGTTCGGTTCGCCTACTTCAAGCCCGCGGAAGAAGGCCGGGACCAGTCCGTCACTCCCCCTGTGACGGAGCAGACACAGGAGCTCTTCCGGAGCCGCATCAACTCGTGTATCAACAGTCTCATCGCTACGCAAAAGTACGCGGGCGTTCCGTACGTCGTTGTTCGCCACATCCGTGACGCAGTCAAGTCTGAAGAGCACGGAAAGTTCATCATCAACATGGACGATACGATTCAGGACGCCGTGAAGAACGCCTTCAAGTCACTGAAGAAGCTCGCCAATATGGTAAGTCTATCGTCGACATAGCCACCATTCATTACTAACCCATAATAGGAGAAGGGTGACAAGGCCAGCATCGATGCCTTCAAGCTCCTGTACTCTTTGACCATTCTGCAAGTATACAACGGCGACGCCGATGCCGCCTCCATGCTGGAGGAACTCGACTTCTGCTACACCAAGATCTTCGGCGACAAGAAGTCCAAGAAGGAGGAGACCTCTGACGCCTCGGACGCTCTGGTGGAAATCCTGCTGAGTTTCGCATCCAAGCAGTCCCAGCTTTTCCGCCGCATGAGTGAGCAAGTCTTTGGTGCCTTCGCCGACAGCATTACAGAGAACGGCCTGGAGTCGTTGACCTCGGTATGTCCATAACCCCCACTCCCTCACAATCCCCACTAACATCCCATCTCAGATCCTGGAAGCGAAAGAGAGTCTTGCCGGACAGCAAGAAATGTTCGACCAGCAAGACGACGAAGGCGACGAGGAAATGATGGACGTTGACGGAGAAGACGACAGCGACGTCGAAGTCATCGACGGCGAGGCCGGCTCCGACTCCGACAACGACGAAAGCGACGACGAAGACGAAGACGATAACGAATCCAGCGGCAACGACCTCGAAGAAGCGATCTTCGAAGCCAAGCTCGCCGAAGCGCTGGGCACCCACCGCGCCGACAAAGACCTCAACGAAGACGACTCCGAAGGCTCCGACGCCGACATGAACGACGACGAGATGGAAGAAATCGACACGCAACTCGTGAAAGTCTTCAAAGCGCGACGCGACGCCCTCGGTCAAAAGAAAGACAAAAAGGACGCCAAAGAGAATATGATCAACTTCAAGAACCGCGTTCTCGATTTGCTCGAAATTTACGTCAAGAAATGCCACTCCAAGATCCTGGCGCTTGATCTCCTTCTGCCGTTGTTGCGCCTTACCCGTCGCTCCACTGTCAAGCAGATCTCGAATAAGGCTGCTAATGTGCTCCGCGAGTACACTAAGCACTGCAAGGGCGCGGCGCTGCCGAAGCTGGATGATGAGATCGAGCCGGTCTGGGAGCTCTTGAAGTCGATTCATACCGAGGCGACGCATAGTGGGCCGCCGGCGCATGCGTCAGCGTGCAGTCAGGCTAGTTTGTTGGTGGTGAAGACGCTGGTGGCGCATGATAGGGAGACGATCTCCGGGGTGGTGGATGTTTATGGTGAGACGAGAAAGGCGCAGCTCATTAGCAAGAAGTGTCATGTGCAGCCGTCATTCTTTACCGATTGGAACAATTGGTGTGTGTCGAGTAGCAAGCAGATGAAGAATTAGCTGCTACGGGAGGACTTACTGTATAGATGGGCTGTTAGTTAGATTGATTGGGACCCGTCTCAATAACATGATTGTAATATATACACGATCTCTCTCCTAGTATACTAAGTTATAGACATCACAGTAACATGATTACCAACACCCACCGAGTTCTATATAGTTCTTTTAAAAACCCTTAATATACCGATGTCCATCCGTAACCTCCACAACCTCAAACCCCATACCCACCTCGACCCTCCCTTCCTGCCTCGGGGCACTCAACATCCCAAAACAAGGCTTGAACTTAATTCCCTCATCCACACGCCGATACTTCATAAGCGTATCCCACGGCTGCCGACGATGCTTCTCCGCGGTATCAGGATCAACATTCGGAACCTGACATCTCGCGCACCGAGCCACGACATCCAACTCCACTGCCCCATCTCCCCTCTTCCCATCCTTATCATTCCCTACAATCCGCACGACCTTCCACGAATCCTCCTCCCAGGGCACATCCCCCGTAACCACAATATTCGGCCTGAACCTC